AAAGAGAGAGAGAGAGAGAGAGAGAGAGAGAGAGAGAGAGAAAGAGAGAGCGAGAGGGAGAGAGAGAATGAGGGAAAGACAGAGAGAGGGAAAGAAGGAGAGAGAGAGGAGGAGGTGTGAGGAGGAGAGACAAAAACAGAAGCAGTGACTGAGAAAAAAAGACAGAAGAGCGACAGAAAATAAAATGGAAAGGTTTTTTGGGGTGCGAGGAAAAAAAAGAGTTCCGAAATGAAATAAACTAACTTACCCTGTACGAGCCGGTTATTTAGCAGTGCCCTGTAGCAAAACTGGTATTAAACTGGACAACACGAGTATCCTTTCCGCGAATCTGTGACTCTTGTCATGAACTTATTTGCTTACAGTCTAACAGTACCGTATAAATATTTGTCAAATCAGACCTGCAGGAATGAGGATAATACCCTCACACCGAAAGCACAAGTTATGCAGAAGTCGAATCACATAAATAAAACTGGGCGAGATTGTATTGCTGACTTTGTTGTTGTTACTGTTGTAATGTTGTTATTGTGTTGTTTCGTCTTTGTTACTATTACTATTATTGTGTTGTTGTTGTTGTGCGGTTATTATTGCGGTTGTTGTTGTTGCTGCTGCTGTAGTTGCTGCTGCTGTTGTTGTTGTTGTTGTTGTTGTTGTTGTTGTTGTTGTTGTTGTTGTTGTTGTTGTTGTTGTTGTTGTTGAGGTTGTTTGTGTTGTTTGTGCGTGTTATGTATATGCTAAAAATGAAACACACATAATATAGCGTGCAACACATTAACCCCCTCGAGAGATACTAGCTAGAGAGTCGAACTCTACACCATGCACATCCACGACGAACCAAACACTAACCACCACGGTATACTCCAGCATGAAGCCACAAACACACACACACTGCCAGAGGGGCTTTCACCTCCTCCCACTTTCTGTAATGTATTCATAAATTTCTTCAAAACGTCGCTGGTCGAGTACATATACTAGGCCGAATTACTAAAGCAAGGTGCCGATATTCTCTTGACCTTTGCGACCTTTCAGGGAAAGCGGATAGAGAGGGGGAGTGAAGGGAGAGAGTGAAGATAGAAAGAGATAGTGGAGAGAGAAAGAGAGAGTGGAGAGAGAGAGGGGGAGAGGGAGAGAGAGAGTGGAGAGAGAGAGGGGGCAGAGAGAGAGAGAGAGAGAGAGAGAGAGAGAGAGAGAGAGAGAGAGATCGATCTTAACAGCAAAAGTCTGCATTTGTTCTCGAACGTTTGCCAGGTCTTCTACCCAAGTGTTCTGCCAATTCCTAGCCGGCTGGCGCCTCTGTGGTCCCGGAAAGAGAAAATAGAACCGGAGAGCTGCAGCTATCTCTGGGAACATTGGCGAGGGGGAGCGGGG